TCTTGTTGCTCTAACATGTCCTCACTGGAGCAACATATTAACACAACTCCTCTGCAAAAGAGCCCTCTTTAGAAGTTTGCTGCAGGGATGACAAATTAACCCAGCATGGTGTCCCACACATCTATCTCAGTACAAATTATTAGTGTAATAGAGCTTTTAGTTATGCATTTATCTAGTAATTATTGAACGGTTATACAAAACGAAGCTGAGCAATCATGGCCCTTTATGAGACGAGCTCAGTGGGTGGTCTTACAGTTAATTTAGGATAGGACTGTCTAAGCAGTTCACTCACACACAAATTAGCTGAACAGGCTGCTCCTTTAAATATTTCCTATGTCACAGGCTAACTCTTTACAATACAACAAAGGTAGAGTTTTAATTACACGGTTCCTGACTTTTGTTTAGCTGAAGCTTTAACTGTTTGTGAGCCTTCCTCTCTGCCCTCCCTGCCTGGGGTACGGCAGGCGGTGGCAGTTTGGGATCGCGTCATTACTAAACCCTGACCTTGAGGCCATCTGTTAGGAAACTGCTTTTCCTTTAGCATCAGATTATTTCAAAGTGAGTGGAGAAAATCAGTCTTCCCCTGCACAGTCAGCTCTCCTGACATTGTAAACTGGAACATGTAAACTCATCTGATGGTCAGCGTTGTGCTATTTATGGTTTCACCTCAACTTTCTCACCCTCGTGGTGTGACTTTCTCCTCTTTTGGCTCTCTGACATGACCATACCCTGATCGGAGGTGTCTGCATCAGAGTGAAGTTGCAGCACTTTGTTTTTTCAGAATTCAGAGGAAAGTAGAAGGTTACACCAGCCTGCCAGCTGACAGCATCGAGGAGCAGCCACAGAGAGTTGTACAGAGCAGGATATTACAAAATGTATTTTTACACTGTGTAACTGGAATTATCACTTTGATTCACTTGAAGCTGGCTAACAGGACAGCAAACAGGCACCAGTGCTTCAGTGACCCAGTGGAGAATTTTGATAGAGAAGGGCACAATGTCTCCCCAGATCTGTGACATCAAGTTTTTGTCACTTTGGCATGAACAGAGAGTACTGTGCTGCAGCGTTTCCCTGGCAGGCCTTGTCCTGATAAAAGTCTCAATAGCAATGCTAATTATGGAAGAAATTAATATAATGGAAACCAGTCAACTAGTTGACTTTCATCCCTTCTTCTATTTCTGTCACACCCCCTCTTCCTTGGGTTCTTCCTTTTGTGCTGTATTTCTTGCTTCTTGTAATTGTGTTTCTCCTTCATTTATCTTCCTAACATACCATCTCATTGTTGTTTTTTTTCCTTTCCTTGCCTTTTCTTCCTTGCTTTTTGGCTCGCAGGATCCACACTGTCATATTCTGTGGAAATGCTTGAATGCTCTGCAGCACAGGCTGCTGTACATCCTGGATTTACAAGATCGTGGTCAATTTAATGTTTCAGCCAGCTCCAGATATAGAGTCACTAGAGTGTAAGTAGCAATACATGGAAGCCTAAAATCACTTATGTAAATACTGCTGTCACCCATAGTATTTAAATCCTTCACTGTCTGGTAAAGAGTTCAAGTGGTCTGGGAAACTTCGTGAGATGCCAGCGATACATGATGGCTTTGCAATGCTGGAGCGCTGTGGTGAGCTACACTGACCACCAAATAATCTCATTTGCAGGTGACAAAAGTATGCTGTGTAGGAGAGAGATCTGACTACTTGAATTTTCAATGCGTTGAAATAAATTCTAAAACTGATAGTGATGCTGAAGCCACCCTATAGGTGATCAATTTACCATCTGCCAGATCTGAATCCTAACCACGCTGGTCCAGAGAAGACATATGGTGCATTCATAGAGTCATGCCCAAAAAACTGCCATCATCAAGTGAGGCTCCATGAATCACTTTGCTAGCTTATCACCAAAAAAACTTGGATCTTGCCACCATCTGTTGGAACTACTGAGGAGTCACTGAAGCATTGGCATCCATGCGCCAGCACTCACTGCACATCTGGTCCGTTGGTCAGCCAGCTCGGATCCTCTCTGCTGGCTACTGCCCAGCTGGGCTGAGTACTGGCAGCAGCACCAGTGCAGAGAGGAACTAGTGCACAGCCTTCCACAACACAGTACATACAGACAATTTAATGAGAGCAGAGGTTTTCCAACTGGTTCGTTGGATGGAGCAACTTAGAGCTAAGAAATCCTCTTATGGATCTACTCCTCCTCCAAGGAAGTCATGTTTCCAAAATCATTCATTGTGGGGATCACAAGGAAGGGCACTGAGTATTCTGGGATACCCCAGCATAAGATAAGCACTGTATTCTAAGGGATGTTTGGAAGTGTGTGAAAGATTCGGGAATATTCCTGAGAAGTCATAAATCACTGGTTGTCAATGACAACACCTGCCATGAATAGTCTACAGCTTCTTCTCCGCTGTCTATTTTGATCATGTTTTACAAATGCATCTCATATACACATCCAAGTGATAAACTTGCACATACGAACATGAGAAGGAGATCGAACCTTCTTGTAATCAGCTGGCTGAGGAGCTTACTCTGATGGTGACCTACTTACTCACAACTCTCCTTTCTCTGAAATCTCTCTGCAGACTGAAGATTAAATCCTCCTCTTAGTTTTCTGAAGACCCCATCAGGATGACCTGCCACTGACCATTTACATAATGCATCTGTATCCAAAGGGAATGTAATATGTGTGTGCTATATCCTACCTAGCATATCCTCAGAGGTACAACTTCCAGTAACTACTGGTGGATATGAATCGCTCAATTATATCCTCTTATATGATCGCATTATACTCTTCATGTTGCCACTTTTGATACCTGAAAAGCTTCTCTCTTCTGCTTACTGTCCCTAAAGTACGCTGGAGGCGATGGGATAAAGAACAAAGCTGGATTTGCAGAAAATAATCCATCTCAGTATATCACCCTTTACTAACAGAATGATCGTTGTAGCCGAGAAATAAACACAGCCAGTGTGCTGTGGAAGAAGAATACTGAGGAGGAATGTCTAAAAAGAACAAAGAATGAAGTCTGGGACAAGATTTTTCCAGGATGATGACACTTAAAGAAACCATGGATTTTTTTCCTGAAAGCCTGTGAGACTTCGTTTGTGAACAGTTTTGGTTAACCTGTTAGGAACCATCGATGATTAAATGCTGTGTTACTTCTTTATGGAATTAGTAAAGACATCTCCTTCCAAACAAACAAAATTTGGGAACTGTAATAACTGCATTTGCTCTTTCAACTTCTGGCTGCCATTGAATGTTCTTCTCACGTAGCCGATGGATATCCCTCAGCGCACAGAAAAAAGTCTTGTGAAAACAGACTGTAGATGAGATTTAAACAAGGCCTCACCAGTGAGACATTTCCTCTCTCAACCACACAAAAATCCAAAACACAGAGGGTCTAAACAGGGGCAGACAAAGGCAGTCAATGATCTTAAAAAATTAGTGTGAGGTAAAACATAGCTAAATAAAGAAAGGCCTATTAACTAATCAATCAACAACTCGAATCTAAAAGGCTGAACTTCTGAAAGACAGGAATTCAGAGTCAGCTGATTTGCACTGAACAGAATGTTAATGGAAGCTTCATATTATTCATACTTGTATCACCAATTATCAAGGCTTTTAAAAGAAGATCTATTTGCCAGACAGCTCAGATCCAAATTTCAAGGGAAATCTGTGCAGAGCTTAGATGCCTAAATATCTTCTGAAGATCTAGGTGTGTGTCTAAGGGTAATGAATAATTTTTATGGATTAACCACAACAAATCAAACTACAATAAGTAGATTTAACAAAGCACAACATCCCGTGAAGTGCAAGTCTGACCTTGCTTCAAGTTAGTGCAATTTCACCATTTCTAACCACATCATCTGGACTGTGCAGACAAGGAGGCTCCTCCTGGTTTATGCTGCCCTCAGTAAAACCACACTAATGCCAACCAGACACTTCCAAATAATTTCTAGGATGAATTGCTAATATTCCTTTTCATGCTTTACCATTTGACCAACTCCTTAATAATCTTCTCCAAATAAGACAAAATTTCCTAGCAGAAAGAAACATGTCACAACCATTCAGTCCTATTTTTGTATCTTCCGAAGAGGTTTGTAAGAGGATTCATTTATTTGTGTCTCTTACTATGCCCAAGTGAGTTCCTTTTCAAATGTGAACTCAGCATCACATTTAGTTTTCTAGGCTAAATGCAAATGCATCTTTCCAACAAAAATGTATAAGCACATCTAGACCCAGAGGACATCTCTTTTACTTGGAAAGTCAGTCAGAAGAGTACTGGGAAGAAAACCAGCCAAAGTATTGCAGGAATCAACTTCAAAGGAGTCCCCTAACAAGGCGGTTCTTCGGCACACAGACACCAACAGCACGAGAACAAATGACTGGCAGAAGGAAAGCCACAGTGCTGGAAGACAGGTGTGGGTCAGAAGTGATGGATGGGTCCCTGTCTTGAGCAGTTGGACTGAATCAACGTGATGAATGTACACAAGCAGAAGACACTGTCTGCAACACACTCTGTCCCTTTCCCCACCCTCTTCAAACAAAACCCCAAGCGCCCAGAAACCAGCATTTCCACCTTAGGCACTGCTGCGTGGTCGTCAGGAGCTTGCCCAAACAGCCCAGCCTAACCAAACCAAACTCTTGACACCTAAACTCTCTGGGTTGTCGAGGTTCTGAGCACAGCCTCTCGCTAGGCAGGTCACAGGTGGCGATGGCTTTCCATGGAGAGGCGCTGGGATGGACACTGGGTGCCATGGCTAACGTTTAAGCTGCCTGGGGGCTCTTGGGTAAGGCCTCACCTCTGGGTCCTGTAATGACAGGTCGATGGTGCTGTGTGAAAGCCGTTCCAAGGGAGGAGGTCTGCGAAGGCGAGGGACTGCTGAAACCAGACTTCTCTGACTTCAGGTGGCGATGGCTTTCCATGGAGAGGCGCTGGGATGGACACTGGGTGCCATGGCTAACGTTTAAGCTGCCTGGGGGCTCTTGGGTAAGGCCTCACCTCTGGGTCCTGTAATGACAGGTCGATGGTGCTGTGTGAAAGCCGTTCCAAGGGAGGAGGTCTGCGAAGGCGAGGGACTGCTGAAACCAGACTTCTCTGACTTCTTTAATGGGCGATGGCATTATTCCTGGCAAGAATGATTGATAAGTGCAATTTAATAATGCTAGGTCATGGAACGACAGCCTATGCATTGTGAAAGGGGGTGCAGAAGCAGCTAGATACACTTAAAGGACAAATGAAACGGAACACAACAGCAAGCTGAAAGCTCACTTTTATTTGTGGTCTTTTTCAAGGCAGAAGCAGCCATGGTTTGCTCTGAGCCATGAGAACTAAAAGGCAGCCATATTTTTCTTATAAATCTGAAATATGGATAAGACGCAGCTTATTATTGCCACTGAAACCTACTCTGCTTTATTTTTAGAAATCTATAATAGCAGAAGCATTTGGATTTTTACAGGCTTTTTATGTGTTCTGTCTTTCACTCGTTGGTTTAGTAGATTATTGCAAATGGATCTTTTAAATGTGCTGCACGACTCGAGGCACAACTAGAGAATGAAGTTTTCTGAGTTCAAACTCTTCCTCCCCTTACTCTCTTGACTTCAAAGGTATTTGAAGGTAATATGTATATGTGGCTCCCTTTTGCTTTCAAAGTTTTTTTTTTTTTTTTAAAGGGTGAGTGCTATTTGTGTCTTGATATTAGAAGCCACACAGGAATTATTTCAGAGTTGCCATAAGGCCCTTGAACTGTATCAAAGGCTTCCAATGAAGATCAGAGTTAAGTTGCCACTGGGTGAAACCTCTGCCATGGACAGGCAGAAGTGGTGTGATGCTACTCTGACTAGTTTGGTATACAGAGTAAGAATAACTCCTGTTAATGTCGTATCGAGGCAGTGGCATCAAAGAAATTAGTTGAGTGAATACATTGCAGTAGGCTCTTAAAATCAGAGCCTTTTCTGTGTATGTTTGGTGCTTGGATAAAAGAATATTACAGTATATAGATGCAAAGTATGTATGTGTGTATTTTTCAGTTCTAGGTGCATCTGAGTATTCTGATTATCTGCACATATTCTGAAAACTCATAATTTCCAGGACATAGAGCCCATCAGGCATTTTGCTTATCTGTAAGGAAATAGCAAAACAAAAGTGCAGAATGGTTGAGATTTCAGGTGCAAGTGCAAAACATCAGGTAATGTGGAAGTTGAACTTCCACTAGCAAAGTCATTCTACTTGATTTTCAACTCTGAATTTTATAGAATTTAACTGTTAAAAAGTAAAGAGAGAGGCCTGGACAATATTATCTCTGGCCAATACTATTAACTTTACATTTAATAACACTAGTTTTATAGTCCTTGGGATGTTGACTGCAATATGCAGGAGCCTTCTTGTACTTTATATGCTGCACTGCTGGGTCTTAATGGTTTCAGTGAGGCTTTGCAGTTTATATTTCTGAAAGTTAAATAAAGGAAGGGAATGGTTTGAGTTCCAGTGTTGTACTTGCAGCTTTCTGCCTCAAAACGTTTGCTACAGGGTTTGTTGTTGTGGTGGCTTTTTCCTCACAGCAGGAAAGGTTACAGACTTGACCTTTTAAAAATCTAAGTTTAGGACTGACTGTTGGGCTTGAAAAATATTGGGTTGGATTTTTTTTAAATATCGGTCTTAAGAACTTTGGAGTAGGGACAAAAGGTAAAAAAGTTGGTTCAGTTTGGGGGGAAGAGAGAAAAGCAAACTGAACTAAGGTGTTTCAATGAACTATTCCAATGCAACTGCTGAATTTCTGCTTCAATGGCATGTTGGGATGTAACTTAGCCATTGAATGTCCATATTCAGGACAACAGCACTCAAAGAATCTGTGGTGCTGTAGATCCAGATTTCTTTATGATACAAGAACTGGGGATGGAGACACCAAACAAGTGTCAACCCCAGCCCTAAGTGCAAAATACCATGGACGGTCCAAGTGACTATGCACGGGGAAGGTCACAGCAAAATACAGCAGCGTGTGACTGTCTCAGCTGTAAGGTTGTGCAGCCCATGTGCAGGGATCCAGGTGGGACATGAGTTACCTGTGCTACCTGTGCTCTGGGCAAGCACTGGAGGTCATGGAAGGAGTAAGATCTCCTAGTCTATGCACCATATGGTTCAGCTGGCTCATGAGCTTTCTGCTTTCCTCACATCCTCTGGCTGCAAACCCTCTTCAGGGTTATGGGAAAGATAAATAAAGGTTCTGAGAAAATGCAGTAGCACTTCTTTTACCCCTGTGTTAAAAAACCTGCATGACTTATCTAATTCATGGTAGGGAGAAGGGGCAGAGAGGCAGTGGAAAATGGTTTAAAGCTGCAGCAAGTTCATGTGATTGTGTCTGAACACTGAAACTTGAGGAGCTACAATGAAGCTGATGAATGACCTTGAGTGTGGCAATGCTGAGCAGTGTCATGTTCACATGGGGATGGGTTTTATAAGGTCGTGGCAGTGGTTTTCATGTGAAAATAGAGGTTTTAATGTACCACTATGCAGTGAAATTGAGTGGAAAGACAAATTGAAGCACTGATAATTGGTTGCTACTTTTGTTCTGTTTGTTTGTTATGGCTTTGATTGCCATTATTATCACAAGTTCGGTTTATTTATTTATTTATTTCAGGATATTTTGAAATGTATTGGTTTGGAACAGTCCAACTATACCATGTTTTGGTTTTGTTTGGGGTTTGTAATGACACATTTTATTTTGAGTGATCACATCCATCAGATCTCAAGAAAAAAATGGCTGCTTCCTAGTTCAGAAGAATATGCAAACAGGAGCTTAATTACATCACTTAATATTGACCAAGAGAAAGAAGAAGATGAGCTTGCCAGCTCATTTCCAAAGCATGTTTTGTCCTTTAAGAGGGGAGGGTATGACAGAAAGTTAGGCAGTGCAAAGCAATTAGCATCATTCACATTTTATGTTGCGCTAGCATGGTGCTCTAGCAGCAAAATTCAAACATTCTTTGAATGGGTTAATAAAAGAAGAAATACAGTCGGCATGCAAGAAAAAGGTTTCCAAGAACAAGCCAAAATATGTCCCATTCTTCTAAATTTATCACAGCCATGTCACATTATCCTTGAGACTGCCAGGAATGTCAATTTTTTTGCAATTTAAAAAAAATATCTCATTTAGCACCATATGTTTGGTTAATGTGCCTGATATATCCTGCGTATTCTTTAGTCCATCCATTTCTAATACTCATTTTCTTCTTTTTTTTTCTCCCCTTGCTAAGCCATATGTTACAATGCTGGTCATTCTATCGAAGCTCCTTTCAGGAGCTGAGCGTGAGGGAGCTCTGGTTTAATTGCCCAGAAAAAGTTTTGAGTATTAAAAGTCTCACTTAGGTGAGCAATCTCAACACTTAGTGTTGTAGGTGCCTGGTGCCTGTGAAAATCAGGCCACCTTTGAGACAGCACAGTGTATATTAACAACTATGAGGCAAGACCTAAGATAAATGACTAAATATAGAATTAGGTGTTTAAGTTTTGGCACCCATATTTGAGACTCTTGACTAGTTTTAAAGGTCTTGTATTTCATACTCAATGACTTTTAGCACGTTTAGTGGTCCCCAGACCGCAGTGTCCCCTCCTGTGTTGCTCAGGGATGCAGGAAATTAAAAAGTTAAAGCTGAAGGTACTTCGGGCAGAGCTGGGGATGCATCCCAGGAGGATGCTGCTGCCTTGCACAGCTTTCCTCAGCATTGGTCTCAAGAGCCAAGGAATATTGGGGGCCACTGCACTGTAGACCAGATTCCAGCACTTCCCAGGACCCCAAGGAAGGAGTAGTGCCAACTTTAAGGACACCTCTGAGTCCCTGCTCTCCTCTCTTTGCTTTCTGGTGCAGGGCAGCAACAAATTACAATATCCTCCAGCCTGTCTCAGCTGCGCTGGCCGGTTAATAGGGAATGGAGCCAAGGATCCTCCCCATTCCCTGCCTCTTTCTATCCATCTGCTCCGAGCAAGGAATAAACAAGAACAGCCAGAACACAACGGCTGGGTAACCCAGGTGGGGTTTAAACGTGTTCCTTACCACTCTGTGGATAGGACTGTTGTCCAAATCACAGTCACACCTGGCACTTTTAGGGAACACAGATTTTAGAATCCAGGTCTGAGTCTCCTCTGAATGTTATTTAGAGTGTGAGAGAAGAAAATCAGACTTTGTCTATTTTCATCTTATGGCAGCTTTTAACTACAGAATAAATGGAAAAGTTAATTGCTAAATAAAAAAGAAAATAAAGGGATTTGTGGCATAAAAGGCAGATGGAAGCCTTAGTGGGTGTTACTTTAACTTACTGTACTTGTGCTCATGTGATTCTATATGTGTGCCAAACATATATGGTCTTAGCCTGCTCCCAATAGCACAAATCCATTTTTTTCACTGGACAGAGGGAACCAGATCAAAGACCATGATGGTGCTAAATGGAACAAGATGTGTACTTTTGTATTTTTTTCCGAAAGGAAATATTAATTTGCCATTGGTTTTTCAGTTGAAAAGAATTTTAATTGCAGTACACAATAAGCAGAAAATTCAGACAACAATAATCTTGAAACTGTTAGCAGCATTATATTTCTATCAAGGAATTTGTGTGCCTTTTCAACATTAGAGCTTTCTGAATTTTCATTAATTTGGCATTTCCCTAAACACACAAGTTATTTTGTTCATTCCACATCATGCATCACACCCTTCTGCTCAATGCATAATGCAAGCGTAAATGGGATCCTTGTCCTTGGGAGACTCTGGTTACTGGAGCCATGAACGGATGTTGAAGTCCCGCAGTAAGACTTTCCAAAACTCTGCACTTCGCAAACCTCCAGCCCAAGTTTAATCAGTGAGTGCACAGGAATACTTCATGTTCCTCATCTTCTAAGGGGAGCATTGTGATGGTTTTAATTCCTCTACCTCCTTATGTTTGCCAGTACTAGAAACGCACCACATAAAAGTCTTCCTTGAGTACAGCTAAAGATCTTCAAATTGTCATGTATGAGGCTGATATATATTTAAATGGACCAGAAAATGATGTGTGATAATTGAATGCACAAATCCTTCCCAGAACAAATAAATATCTGTGAACCTCTTTCCCATGCACCTTACTAACAGAGGGACTGAAATCAGGATTAACTTTGATGGAGTGAATGGAGTCACAGCAAGAAGAGAACAATTCCCCTTCTCTCCAGATCTCTGGCTGTATGTATGTATACCTGTTCATCCATCCAATTTCACTTGATGAATTACTAACATTATTCTGCCTGCACACACCTTAAACAAAACTCCATCTCAAGTTAGCCACATTGGTAGACCAGCTCATATTCATCTCCAAAGACGACTTTTTGGATAATTACCCCGATATTCCCAGTAGCTCTCTCCCACTATACTCTTAATGGAGATTTCATAACAAAATCTATGAATGAAATATGGTCTGGATCTTCCTTCTTAAGGCATACTAGGAAAAGGAATCATGGAAGCTCAGATATTTCCAGGTGGACCATGAACTTGACAACATGCAGAACAAATAGATGATGCAGACAAACAAGTTTGGTTGTTGAAGAAAAAACCTGATGTATGGGAAGAACTTTACAAGGAATTTTCATCCTTCTGTGCAAATTATTCCAGCAATTTCACTGAAATCAGTATCAACAGAAATGCTGTTGTGGTTTTGTTTATTTTTTTTCCTGGGGAATTCTTACTTTCAAGCTTCTTGAAATGTTGATGGCTACACTCCTGCCAGTCATAGTAAGTCTGTTCTACTTAGTGCTGAGCAAACTTTGTCATCAGCTGAGATACGATCGCACTAACTGCCATCCATCAGTTTACTGTATTAATTGCTCCAGTATACACAAAATACAACACAGATGGAAATTCACTCATCCTAATGAAGTGCTCTTTAGTTTCTACATTCTGAATGGATACTGGCTCCCCTGGTTGCATTCAGAGTTACCATGATCACTGATTAACTACCTGCCAGCGAGCACCTCACTTCACAAGGCTAAATCCAGCTTAATAAACAGTGATTCTACAGAAGAAAAATGAAAGCTCCCCCTCTATCCACTTATCAAACTGCTGCATATGCATCACCAACACACACAACCAGTTTCCTCAGAACTCAACATCTGACAGATCATCAGGAAAACAGAGCTAATCTATCCGTACCCATCAACATCGTATCATAGGTGACTGCCAGATACTTAAGAAGCCATCCAAAAGAAATGTCACAACTCTTTTTCAAGACACTACAAAAGAAATGTTCCAAATAAAATAAAGCAAATGCACGTACAAGTAAATGAGCCAAAGAACTTAATAAAAAGAGATTGATTAAAATGAGGACCAGAATGTTCAAAAAGGACTGAGAGAGAGAGGTGCCAAAGGCGCATTAAATGGATTCAATGGCTTTAGGTTTTAAATGCTTTTGGACTCCTCAGCAATTTATAGCCAAAAATGATAATTCAAGTTAGAATCAAAATTCTGATGTCACTTAGGGAAAACGAAGGTTGAAGTTTCTCCTTTGTAAATAAGTACTGCTCTGTTCACAGAGGAGAAATTACAGTTTATACTGAGGGAAAATCTAACCTACACAATTTTGAAGCTGAGTGCTCCAACATCCACCATTATTTTAAAATCCTACCCCATTAAAGTCTGCCTTAAATTGTTTGGTACAACATTCCCACAGAGTGTATTACCTTATCTGTTTGTACCTGTGTTTACAGCATCATAAGTACTGCTCTGTTCACAGAGGAGAAATTACAGTTTATACTGAGGGAAAATCTAACCTACACAATTTTGAAGCTGAGTGCTCCAACATCCACCATTATTTTAAAATCCTACCCCATTAAAGTCTGCCTTAAATTGTTTGGTACAACATTCCCACAGAGTGTATTACCTTATCTGTTTGTACCTGTGTTTACAGCATCATTGGTTTTAGA